ATTAATTGCTCCGCCAACACCCAGGACCATTACAAGCGTTCATCTCCCACATTGGAGGCCAGGAAGTCCGTACTACTCCTTGCAGCTAGGTTGAAGGTTGCATTCGAGGATCTTGGTGTTGACATTGTTGACATCAATCAAGGATTCCAAACATGGCTCACATTTACTGCGTCTTCGTTGATTTCAAACGCATCGTTGGCGTATGGGGAGCACTTGATGAAATCTCTATCTCACATGGGAGGAGTCAGAATTTCGAAGAGGCAAGCTCTGGAAATTTTCCGGAACGGACGCGGCAAGCAATTCAGCATATATCGCGAAAGAGTTTTCGATGATGTTGCGAAGAAGTGGCTTTTGATCTATAGAGTCACAAAGGATTGCGGAAATGTCGCATACAAAGACTTCTTCGAAAAGGTTGCCGTTCCCGAGGTGAAGGAGAGGAACGAGATTTTTGGATTCTCCCGTGCATCTGCCGAGAAAACTGGAGATATCGTCGAGTTCTGGCTTGGTGTCTTGGACGTGGCCAATATGGCCAAGGGAGTCGTGGATGTTTTCAATGCTAGCGTTGATCCAGCTGAGTATCTCAATGGACTGGAAAAGGCACTGGCTCAATTCACATCGACCTCCCGAACCTCGAGCACCATCAATGACAAGAGACGGGGATCCTTCGACTGCACACTGCAAACTGCAGAAGCCGAAAGGGTCATGAAGCTCATCCACGCAATCCCCGGATATGACTCGCTGGCCAATTTCTGCTGCCTCACGGACTGGGAGAAGGATCAGGTATTCTCTCATTATCGCAGGAAGAACAACATCACAGGGGGTGACGCCAGTATGGGCACTGATGCCGATGCCAAGCCAGGTGACGAGTCGTCGGCTCACCCTGGGGAGGAGGAAGCTGATGAGCCAGCGAACGACCCCACCGATGTGGTCAGGGACTCAGAGAATTCCGGGAAACAACAACTTTTGGATGCGTTGGGGAAACTCTTTACCGTCTCTGAGGATGTCAACGTGTGCTTGTATTGTGGTAGCACCCAACATGGCCATCTTGAATGTGAACATGAGAAGAGGGATGAAGTCAGAAAGGTGCTAAAGGCCGTCCGAGCGTCGCTCGAGGCTGATAGTCCAACATCTGATGACGTCGATATGGAGCCTCCTGAGCACAAGAAGGACGGTTTAGGTGCTACTGATGGGTCGGGGCAAACGGATGAACCTACAAAATCGAGGTTTAGTGAACACCAATGGTACGACAGCATCAGAACTATGTCTGAAGTTGGTGACCTCGATGAGTATGGTAGATTCTGCATGGAAGGACGTGATGTTACAAAGCTAGGACCACAGAACATTGTTGACCTCAACGAAGTGGTCAGAGACGCTATTGTCAGAGGAGGAGGTGACTCTTGGTCAGTGCCAGACTTCATGGCAAGCTACTCTGATAACAACATCAGGAAGCCCTTCTACAAGAGAGTCGAGGCGCCGCAAGATGGTTTCTTGAAAATCATCCCGACTACGGGGGCCCATTTCTTCAACTGCTCTTACTTTGGAGGTGTAGAATATGCGGCCAACTACCGCTTCCAGACTGGCAACCGGCTCAATACCTACGAGGACAAGGTGAGTTCATCACTAAACAGGATCCTGCGGCACAACGTAGGGAAGGTATCAGAACAACAGAGTCTGTCATGTGATGACGCCGGCTGGGTGCCCATCGAGGAGGTGCTCAAATGTGAGTCCATCTGGAGGCACGAGTACGCACGCTGGCCACATGTATTCCTTGCTCCAAAAGGAAGAGCAAATGATCAGAATGCATGGAATGTCGATGAGGCAAACTACCGCATGACACTGCTCTTCAAGATCATGTTCCACTGTGCCCGGTATGGACGTCGCGTTCGTGAACAAGTCTTGGCATTTGGTATCAACAAGGACATTGAGCGCACCAGCCTGACGTGCATTGACAACAAAGTCGATGCGGACACGAACATTCCTGATGAAGGTCTACTGCTCTACCCTGTGGCGGTCCGTGCTCCTACGGGGCACAAAGAAGGATCTTCAAGGGACGACGTCTCATTGCTGTCCTCATTACTTTCACATCCAATCGCGCCCAACACCATTTTGTCGTTACCGGTTTGTTTCCACATCACCAAGAAGACCAACCTTCGAAGCATTTGGAGGCAGGGATTAATTCCAGGAGGTCTTGGAGAAGGTCATCGGATGTTCACGTTCTTCAACCCGTATGTACCATGGGATCACAGATCATGGACCATCACGAAGAGCGTTGATACGCGAAGAGGGGACTACATTTGCTTGTTCGTCCCGACCGAGACCTTGATGGTGGAATATGGCGGTCGACTGACTGACTCGGGACAGATCGTCTCACCAAAGATCATCCCGTTCTCGGCAATCAAAGGAGGATGGATTCAGGACCCAAAGGACCAAAACAATAAGACATGGCTCCGGTTGTTCGTCCCGTCGGGCGACGACCAGGTAGTTCGGTCTGGAACTATCAAATCAAGAACGGTAGCCACCAAGGAGTCCATCTTGAGGGTTGCAAGTCAGTGCATCGACGCCGAAGATCAACCGTTTGACGAAACCGCCATGGATGCCATGAACATCGTCAACCAATTCAAGAACAACCTCATCGAGCCTGGCGGACAAGAGCAATACCTGGCCCGCATCAAGCTAATTGACTACATAGTCGAACGCAAAAGGGTGCAAACATCAGGTTGCCGCCATTGTCCTCACTGTCTCAATGAGACGCCGACAAAACTAGCAGTGTGTCTAGTTTGCTGGACGGAACTTGAAAGTTGTGGAATCCGTCCCTATCGGCTACAAGCTCCTGAAGACGATGAAGATGAGGCCACGAAGAAAGAGATCGATGAAGAAGTTCGTCGACAAGAAGAATCGTTGTTCAAGGATACGGTCCATCAAGCACAAGAAAACGTATCCGAATCCAACGACTATGGCTTCAATCCTGACGAGGTCGACTACAACGAAGGCGATGATGAGGAAATGGATCAGGAGGAGGAAGCCCAACAGGAAGACGACGAAATCGTTGAAGAAGACGACGATGAAATGGAAGTCGAACCTGAAGATGAACCCTCTTCCAAACTTCCAGCATGGACCAAGAACCTCGAGAGCGGCAGCAAGGGTATGCCAGAAGACGGACTTATCAACAATGATGTCTCCGAGGCCGCAGCTCACTTGTATGACAATGCCGTCATGTCAAAGATCATCACAATGTTCAGGCTCTACTACAAACAGAGAGTCACTCTGACCCCAGAGGAGTACTATGAGATGATGACGGAAACCAAGCGAGTCCGGCTGGACCTGGACGACTTCTGTCCTTATACAGGAGAAGACCAGGATGGCAACCTCAAGCGACCGACGGAGCTGGAATTGGATGAACTCTTTCAGCAGAAAGGGAAGAGGAATTCATGGTCAGAAGGAGAGAAGTTATACTCAGGGCGACCAAGAAACATGATGATGCCTGTCATCAAGACTTTAGAGATCTATGAGAAGATGATGGAATTTCTGGTACGCGCTGGGTATACTCCTGAGTCATTAGGCTTTCTCATGCCAATGAACCGAATGCAGGCTGATGCCCAAGGGAAACAGGAGATGCGAGTAACCATCAGCAACTTCCTTCGACGACTGCTCAAAGGAACCTTTCCGGAGCACGAGTCATACACCTTCTTTCGCTCCGGGAGCCACGGCTTCCCCAACTGCATCGAACTCCCAGCTTTCTCGGTATATCTGAGCCTGAGGGAGAGAGAACAGAGAGTAGAACTGCTCTTTGCCGCCCAACAATGTGGCATTCCTTTACCTCAAAACTTTGTCAGCAAGATGGCTTATGCTATTCAGCTGGCCGAGGCCGAGGCGCAGAGGGGAAAGACCGAAGATGGCTCCAACCCTTGGCGACGAAGTGGTGAGTGAAGTATTCAAAGCGGTTGGACATACTGCAGCTTCCAAGTTTGCTAAACCACCTGCACAACCTTCACAGACACCTGAAGGCACTGGTTCAGCATCATCCTCATCGGCTAGCGCACCAAAGGGCAAGGCTATGCCGAAATCCCATGAACCATCAAAGGCACCGCCTGCAAAGCCTTCATCGCCGAAAGCTGCTCCGAAACGTGCGGCAGGATGGGAGAGAACTCCAACAGCACCTCAATGGAAGAAAGTCCGCCGTGAGCAGTAAACCAATTGCATCGATCCGTCAAAATGATCACTGGGCTACAAGATGTTTACCGTCTTTATGAACAGATGATCAGGAAAAGACCAACTGAGTGGACACTGAGCGAGGCATTAGACTAATTCGCTTAGGTTCAAGACTTTTGATATTCCCAATCTGCACGAGATTCTGCAATGTGCACGTGAATTCGTTAGTTAGCATTGTAAACCTTTGGTAGCGAAGCGATCCATTTCTCCCGACGGGTGAGTGGCGGGCTTAGCCAACGTAGAAAAGTAGATGTTAGCTAGCAATAATTCGCGTTGTACAGCTTGATGAAGCGCCGATGCATCGACAGCCAAAGAGTAGGTGAGCCCTGAACCATTATACCCGACGGGTATGTGGGGAAGGGGGATCCGAATGGCACGTTTTATGTAAATAGGCGTAATTCAAGTAGCAGAACAAATCTAATTCAAAGTTCCCTCTCTCGTGTCCGTGGCTCGAAGAATGCCACGGGCATGGGGGGTGTCAAAGGGAACTAAACGCTAGGACACTTATCATGTACATATGTGATTGTGCATTGAAACGCCGTACTGGCTCAAGTCCCGCGCGAGGAAAATAAGAACGCTGTCCGCATGCCATGCACTGAGATTGCCCGGCGCTATCAGCATTACTGGTACTACAGACAAAAGGGATAATCCAGAACAAGGATCAATTTGTTCACATTCACCATATTTGACCGATTTAGCTTGTGAAACTTTGGGATGAGACTGGAACATTCTGCGCTTCATCCTCACCGGTGAGAGTGTGCATAAACAGTTTGCAGCATGTGGAAACTCAGGTCAAAGCGCGAACCACTGTCGCGCCAGACGTGGCAGGGACTCCAAAAGGCGTTCTTTCAGTTCCAAAACAGATCAGCCCTTTTGGCCTGCACTCGTCTCTTGTTTGAGACACACATCGACATTGCTAGTGCCTCCCACAGATTGCGGAAGTAAATGTTATGCAATCTGAAAGGGTAGAGCGCGGGCACGCTGAACATGCCCAGTGTACCTGTCGCTTGGTCGAGTCATCATCACATTGTCTACTTCAGCCCTATCGACCTCAACAGTATGCCTCACAAGACGCCAGCTTTGGCTTAACTCCAGTCATCGCGTTACATAGTGATACCCTACTTCGTACATCTGTCGTGAATTACCCCATGAATTACCCATCCAGTTGTCCAAACCTCAACCATGCCATGCCGCCAGTGAGGTTGGCGATGTACAAAGAAGTCGCTCCCCGAGTTCAGCAAGAACTGGACGACATTGTTTGGACCTTGAAATCTGGGATGGAAAGCTGTCCTCAGGGCTGAACCGCTGGTAAGCGGTGGTCAGCCTGCCAAATGGATCCAAATGGATCCAAATGACACTCGAGTATATATATATATATTGTAATATATTATAGTATTTATAATATATTATATATAATATATATATCTCTATATATATATATATGTATAGTCACGAGTTGGGTCAGGTTGGGTCTTTGTTGGAGATCACAAAAAAAACTCGTGGCATGGTGATACACTGCTACACTACTTCGGTTGGCCTCGGTGAGGCCCTGCCACAGAATGTGATCCCTTTCACTCAAGAAATCTCTTGCAAAGCTCGGCCTGAGGTCCAGCAAACCATAGATGCGGGAAAGAAGGCCGAGTTTGGTAACAAGTTTTTCATCGTTTTTCCGTGCAAAACTGTTCTCATGACTTTTGCACAATCCAATTGTCGGCTCATGTCGGCTCCTGTAGGCCAGGTTGATGGCCTGTGAGCACAAGTTAGGTTGGGCCCTCTGTGAGGTCGTTCACATCGTTCACTGCCTGCCTTGGATTGCCCCTTGCCCCTTGACCATCTTGACCCCCCCAAAGAATTCAGTCGACTGCCCGGCCAAAGGCAAGCATGTTGGTCCGGGCGCCTAGCACTGGCCTCTCTGCCCTGGTACTTTGCAGCCAGGTGTTGGCAATCCAGCCACATGGAATTTTATCATCTTGCGAAATATCCAGATAGAAGCGCCAGTTCCCGGCGGTGGGCCAACTACCTTGGACCTTGACCCAACACGTTGAAGGGCTGGACTTCATGGTGGTGCCCAGGTGAGGACATCCCCGGAAAGATCGAGAAGGCAATGTGGGGATGTGGATATGCAATGATATGCATGCAATTTAGGTAGATGTGATATGTGCTGGATATGTTGTGATACGTCTAGACTCTAGACTGAAAATGATCTACGAGTCATTCGCTGTCCAAGAGTGCTCATCTACCAACACCATGGAGCCACAACATACGCGCGTGACAATATCAAGCATTGCCTTCAGGATTTCATTGACATGTCAGTTTGTGAAGGATTCCTTCCGTCAAAAACCATCGATGCCGGAAGAGCCGGTGGTTGTGAGGCTACATCGATGCAGAATGCTTGCCATGGAGCTCAGAGGTTGTTAGAACAGTTGTAGTTACCCTGTAGATCAGAAGTGAAAATGTCCATGTTTTCCTTCGTGTTTGGGTCTTGTTTGACTGGGCTCATATGATGTGCTGAGGTTTGCAGATGCAGGACATGCAAGGGTGTGGAGGGAGGATCCAAACTGCACGTTTATGACAACTGTTGGATTGTGGAAAGATTTCAACGTAGGAATGCATTAATACATTTTAGTACATTAGGATAGTGCAACCATTCCATTCGCCCCATCCCCCAAGTCGTTATGTTGTGCTATGTTCAACCTTGAACGAGATCATTGTGGGACGGACCGGCAGATCAAAGGCCAGCTCCGTTTGCCCTCTCTGCACGTGTCAGGAGATTGCCAATCGCATTGCTGTGAAGGACGCCAACATGGGCTTCCCAAAAACTGCAGGCAGAACTGTCATGGACCTTCAACCTCAATGATCTCCATGGAATACTTTCGAAATTCCGTGCTCGTCGTGCTCGTCTTGGTGGGTCTGCTGGGGGGTTCTGGTTTCCCCTGTCATCCCGCAGCTGGCAGGCAGTCGCTGCACAATGAACGATCGCAGGGGCTCCCAGTGAAATCCAATGAGCTTCGAAGTTCCAGCTCCTTGACGGCGAAGGATGCACCAGCGCAGATACTGATAGATACTGTATCATCTCACTTCAAAAAATAAAACATCCATTTGGGTGTCAGTTCGGGGATGTTTTGGCCGAAGGGCAATGCATGGTATTGCATGGTTGGACCATCGAACCACCTCCTACTGTATGACGTTTGGCATAAGCCATGCAGCATCACAGTCAGTGAGAAACCAATCTCATGTCTCAAGGTTTCGAGACCTTTTGCAATGGTCATCCAAGAGTTGGCACGTTTTCTAAGAAGGGCCTGCCAGATCATTTGCAACCACATCAAACATTACCATGGCCTGGGACTGCGTTAGAAACACAGGCGTTTCTGAACCTGGCGAGTGCGACTATCTCAACTGCTACACGACGGACGACAAGCTTGGGTTCTCAGTTGTGGCCCGTAGTTCCTCCCGCCAAAGCCAGCGTTGAGAGTCCATATTCGTCTCCCTTCGAATGCTGCTACCTTGTCAGCGGCCAGGCAGGCCACACTTGTATGGATTCAAATTGACAATATGTATACGTATATATATAACATATATGTATACTGTATATATATATATATGATATGTGTATATAATTCTACTGCAAATGTTTGCTCCAGATGCAGAAGAGGAGTGCTTCGATCCGTTTTCCACATTAAATCTCAGGTTCAAGAAGGCGATTGCTGCGTTGAAGAAGAGGAATGACAAGTGCTACGATGCTTGGACTATGCTCTGTGATGGGAGAATGTGTTTTGAATCTGTGGGGAGACCGGCCGTATTGATGAATCCTTCCACTGAATTTGATCTCGAAGTTTACAGGAATCAAGTGATGTATCAGTATCAGGTTTTGGGTTTTTTTCTAGCCTGTCACCCTGATCTGGGTCTTAATTTTCTCAGCACTGCAGGAGCCAATCATATACAGAAATGCAGCCATAGTAAGCTTACATGGTCCCAACTGCTTTTTCATTCCAGGAACAGTTTCTGCCACAAAAAAACAGTACACTTAGATCCAAGCTGCGAAATCCTGCGAATACCAAGGACGATTGGGTCCGTGGCTCAGATGGACGTGGGCAGCCATGACTCCGGGAATCAGCAGCGTGAAATTGGTCAAACTTTCATCCCGACGACCTTTTGCTCAATGTTTTTTTTGCCTCGAAAAAGGTGAAACGCATATGCAGCACATCGGTATAGCACACAAAAAAAAGCACTTGCAGGCCGACCGATCCATTCACAACTCCTTGAACATCCGAGTGATAACTTGCACGTAGACAGGATTTCGCGTTCCAGTTGCTACAATATAGCATGATATAGCCATCTCCAAATCAACTCTTTTCATCTCTTTTCTATCATGACTGTTGTGGTTCCTCTATCACTGATATTTGATCATCGTGGTTTCGACGACACCGGTGGCATTTCCTGAGACACCAAGGAGGCCACCGTGGATCGCGCGGCCAACTCCTGTTCCAAGGAATCCGCTAGGGCCGCTAGGGGTCGACTGGTGGGATTGCCCGGACACGGAGAAAACGGGGGGTGAAGTGATTCCACTCCTTAGCAGATCCTGTTCACCACAGAAAGTCCCAACCATTTTTTGATTATTTTTGTGGATTCCACGTTATTTCCAGCTTTTTGGTGGGAAATTCGGAGGAGCCAAAGGAGCCACCGGTGCAGCAGCTGCCTCCTGGGGTGGCGCCACCGGCAACGACCAAACCGGCGGTTTCGCAGGTGGACAGGACATATCAGGGCTGGTGGTCAAAATTTGGACCAGAATGGACCGGTTATTTTAAGTATATCATTAAACATCATTAAACAATTGGGGGGTTGCCCAAACGGGACATATTTCCGGTACTTTCAATTTTCTGTGGATTTTGTTCTTGCTTTGTGGCTTTGAGGAAAAAGCAGAGAAAAAACCATTCTTTTTATCGTCAATACATTATTTTGTGATGGTTTCCTGTAAATTCACGGTTTTTTCAAATCCATTCCTGTGTTTTTCTTTTCTCTTGAAGCCATTC